GTTACAAAATACACACAAACCATTATAAAAGATTCATTTTCCTTGAATTCAGAGTTCCTCTCCAGAAATGCAATCCACTGTGTGTCCAGGCATCACCTGGCCTTCTCTGCAAGGCCCGGTAGGAATTGGAGCTGACACCGTTACTGATATCACTGTGAGTAATAAACTGTCCTTCATCTTTGACCCAGGAGTGTAAGGTTCCACCAGCAGCTATGACACTGTTGGGCTAATTCATTAGCTTAAAAGCAGGATAAAATTAGACCCTTCATGGTATTTGACAATCTAAGAATCAGGGTTTCCACAGAAATCTGCCATCAGCCTTCCTCAACCCCTGAGCTCCTCACACAAGTATTTCCAGTCACTTGGACCCCTCCTGCAACTAGAGGACAGTGCCTGCAGATGGAACTCCGGTCATTTACAGAATTCTAGCACATCTTGAAACACCAGGGACAGGACAGCTGCCGCCTCAGCCTTGAGTGTTCACTTGGGAATCCATGGACTTCCTTGTCCCCTCCAGGATGGAGAAGGACTGTGAGTTCTGCCCTGGCCTCTGCACCTGGATTGATCCCATGCCTCCCCATGGTTCCTCAGCACCAAGCTGTGCCTCTTGTTCCGTCTCCCATCCTTATTGCTTCCAGGCACCCGCTCTGCTCCCCAGCCTTCCCTTTCCACCAGTCACTCAGCCAGCTACACATGGAGCACAAGCCTATGTTGGTCTGTGATGAAGCTACCCCTCTGCCCTCCTCTGGGCAGCCCCTTTGTGCCACACCTCATCCCCAAGCCCACCACAGATGATCTTCTGTGTGGTGGAGGGGACAACCCCACCTCATTCTTCTTCAGTCTCTTCCCTTCCTATGGGCCAGAACTCTGAAGTTACTCGACATCTCCCACTTCTGCCCAGCAACCCACCATCACCATGCATTCTCTCAGCCTTGCCTCCCCCTCTGAAGTCTGTCCCCTGTGCCCCAATCCTGCTGCCTTAGTCCAGACTCTCCTGTTGCCCGCCTAGACGCTCACACACATGACCACCAGGTGCCCACAATCTACATTCTGTACTTTCAGATCTGCACAAGTGGCCATTATAAGAAGCAACTGGTTCTGATGGCCTTCAATAGCTTCCCACTGCCAACTCAACAAAGTTTAAGCTCCTTACAACAGCACATAAGCCACGATTATTCACCTCTCCACCTCTTCTCTCTCTCCTGCCACATGTTCAGGCCGCCCTAGGCTACTCCACAGTTTCCTTTGCATGTGTGGCTCCCAATACCCCTGTACCTTTACACTTGCTAGCAATTCTGCAATGGATGTCCTTTTCTCCTGGCCCTCTTCAGTGCCCCTTATCTATCTTTCAAGTCCCAACTCGTGCATGAGCTCATCTGAGAGCTGTCCTATGCTACTTTGCAATCCCAGCCATCAGCTCGTCCCCCTGTGCTGCCACAATTGTGAACACACATTATTTCCATTAGGCCACGTACCACGGTGTATGAAATCATTGTTTGCACTACTTGTCACTCCCTCCACCACCCAGACCATGAGCTCCAGGGAGCTGGGACCATAATTGTTCATCTTTGTTGACTGAATAAATTGCCCCTCATTTCTCTCCTCTCCTGTTCCAAGGCTAACTCAATTGTAAGCTGTGACCAAGTAACATGGCCCAATACAGTGACTGTTCCCCTGAGGCTTTCAGGGCTGGAAGATGATTCCAGAGAAATAGAAGCAGTGTGACTTGGGAAGGTATGTTTTTCAGGAAGATCAAGGAATGGGAGACAGGTAATGAGGGGCACAGAGGAATCAGGCCCCAAAGGAAGTGCAGGCTTGGGTCAGACCAGTTGTGGCAGCATCTCCAGCCCTTTCAAGTGTGTGCAGTTTTGGGAGAAAAGAAACGGGGAGGGGGAACTCAGTGCAGACCTTGCGATCTGCATTTGTACCAGGAGCTACCAGAGCCAGCGGCAAACCTAGCAGGAGTCCCCTAATAGCACTAGCAGGAAATCCAGGGCTCAGGGTTTCCTAGGCCTCCAGGACAGGTTGCTCAGTCCAGTGCCAAGGTCTCCACTTCCTGTATCATGTCCAAGGGAAAAAACCCCACACAATGAGATCTAGATCACACAGTAAAAGGCTTCCAGCCCTAAATGCAATGTGATAGCTCAGACTGGATCCTGGAACAGAGCAAGGACATGACCGGAAAAAAATGTGAAATCCAAATAATGGCTCTAGTTTAGTTAATAGCTATGTACCAATGCTAATTTCTCCACTCTGACGAATGTACCATGGTTAGATGAGAATTTAATTTGGGGGGAAGCTAGGTAAAGGGTGTATGGGAACTCTGTACCATCTTTGCTACCTTCATGTAAATCCAGAGTTCTTCAAAAGCCAACCTTAAAATTTAGGAGGAAGGAAAAGAAAGTCTAAGTTTAAACAGAAGTCAAAGGAGCAACAAGAGAGATTACGGGTTTAACTCTTAGGAATCTGAGGACAATTGCTATATTCATTCATGTGCTCAACAAATATTCACTGAGCACCTTCTATGGCCAAGCAGTTTCCAGAGCACAGGCCACAGCAGTGAACTACCAGAGTGGAATCCCTGCCCTGCCAGGGTCTTCGGTTCTGGTGGATCTGGAGAGCATCCCTAACTCCGAACTGTCCTGGCTGCAGCACACAGCTCCCAGGATACCATCACAGCGGGATTCAGGAAGGGCTCTGCTTGACCCACGGAAGTGGGAGGCTTGAGGTGACTCCAGAATGTGCACGCTGAGCTGAGCTGACTCCTTGGCTTCAGGTTCCTTAGGGAACTCTGTGCCTGGGCTTTCTCTTTTAATAAAGTGAGCAAAGTTAGAAACCAATATTCGACTGGAGATATTCAGTTCAGTAGACGTGAGAGTTGTGTGGAAAGGATAAAAGTGCCTTTATCCATACGACAGGAGTAAATATTTAGATTCAGATCAAAAACAGGGTTAGGAACCCCTTCTGGAGTTGTTACAAACCATCCTCTGTTCGCTGACAAAAATCTCCAGGGCTAGAGTTTAAAAAAAAATTGAAGCGCAGACCACGCGCGTACTCAGTGCAGGGCTGGGGACTGGCAGCGCCCACCAGCTCCAAGATCAAGCTCAGGGTCAGCGGGCACCCCCACTCTCTCCGAGCAATCCGGCCGCCGCAGGACTGGAGAGATCCGGGCGCGGCTGCCCTCGAGCCCCGGAGTCACCGAAGGCACCAGAGACCCCCTCCCCCGGAGCCCAGCGCGAGCGCCCCCGCCTCCTCCTGCGGAGGGAAAGTTGTTGCTCAACCTTGAGGAATGCGGAGCCCAAGCGGCGCGGGAGGAAGCGCGGGAGACTGCGGCGGCCGGCGGCGGGACCGCCCTGCAGACCTCGCCCTCGCGTGAGCGGCAGCCGCGGCGGGGCACCCAGGCGGCCACAGCCGGGGACGCCACCCGCCCAGCCGGGGCGCCGCCTCCGGGCCCAAGGTCTGCGGGGCGGGGCTGGGGCCCTCCTAGAGGGCGAGGACTTTTGTGTGTTTAAGGTGCCTCCATCTGAAGAGTCCCTTGAACATTGGAGGCCTCAGTACACCTTTTGAAAGAATGAGCAAATTTCTGTCGGCCTCAGTTTCCTCCTGGGTTATAAGGAAAGGTTTGATCTCTGAGTCCCCTAACAACTCCGACATCCTAGGATGCTGAGATTAAATCCCATGTGTACTGCTGTGGTTTTGCTTTTAGTTTTTCAGGGACATTTTTAGTGCTACCCTTTATGATGTGCCAGGAGTGAATTTGACACCAGATGGCTTTTTTTTTTTATAAGAAAGAAGACAAAGGGAGGGAGAGAAATATTTTCCAACTGGCAGTGCTGACAGCATTTTGGAAGGGAATCCAGGGAGGCAAAGAGGAGCTGCTTCAGCCTAGTTCTGCCTGCACCACGTTGCCACCCCAGCTCCTCCAGAAATGGGGCAGATCAGACTGGAGCTTTTTTTATGGAGAAAGCACACGACGCGGCATCTTTGGTAGCCTCTCTGGCCTTCGGAGAACTGGCCCCTGAGTTGCAGAGTTGTAGGTTCCAACTACAGGCAGAGCTCTGGCTAAAGGCTGGCTCTGGTGTTAATTAGAACAGAGAGCTACCTGGCAAAGCAAAAGCTACAGCTTCCTGTTTAGAGGAATATTCAGGAAAAATAGCCAAAATGCCAGTGTCTCTTCTGGAATTCCTGGTCTCTCAGACCCCAGCTCTTCCTTCTCTGCCTGGGCCCAGAGTGTGGAGACTTGTCCTTGCTCAAAATGGCATCTAGCTCCATCCTTAATATGTTGTGGCACAGGGAAGGGGAATTCCTGGAATAAGCAATTTGGCAGTGCGCATGGTGATGTCAATTGGGAATGCTGCAGTCAGGCTGCTTCAGTTCAGTTAAGTCTTGGCTCTGCCACTAGTTGTTTGTTTGATGAGGACAAGAAACCTTACTTTTCGGGGCCTTTGCTTCCCAACTGTAAAATGGAATAGCTAAAATTCCTACCATAGAAGCTTGTGAGGTAATACAAGAAAAGCGCCTCTTCAACCGACCTGGGCACAAGGTCAGCACTCAATACCGGCTTATCTGTTCAGCTCCAGGTCTTCATGCTGGGCAAGTCCTCCAAAGTGGCTATCTGTGAAGAGCCTACTGGGCACTGGAACCTTTGAGCAAAGGCATCTCAGTCCCACTGGCTGGTCCCTCCCTGCTCTGCCTCCTCCTCCACATCCCAGGAGACAGAAGGAAGCGTGTACTGGAGGAGCAGAATTCACTCACTAGCCTTCAGCTTCCCCCTCAAGAGATCTCGGTGAGAAAGGGAGCAGGGGGAGAGAAGAGGACTGCTGGTGACAGGCTCAGGGGTTTGTGACCAATGCAGTAGACAGCAGAGAAACCAATGCACTATAGGCCACAGGTGGCAGGTAGCGGCTGCCCCTGTGTTAAAGGACGGGGAAGGGGAGCCCAGGGATCTGTTTTTCTAGGTTATTGGTGTCCTGAACAAAGAACTAGACAAGACTCACAGAGAAGGCAGAGAGGGTATAGTTTTATTCAAGGCTAAAAAGAAGTATATTCTACAGGGCAACAGCAGGCCAGTGAAAAGGGCTTATTGTGGCTCCAAGCCTAAAGGGAAAGTATCCAAAATACCTGGACTGGCCTTCACCCGATGCAAATATGGCTCTGGGGACAATTGCCCTGTGGAAAACTCATTCGTTCTCACACAAGATATAAATTGTCCTATCAAAAACTTGCTTGGCCTCTCACTAGATGTAAATGAAGGATCAGAAATGGTGTCTTTTGATTGCTCATGCCTAACTGTAAATAAAGAACTGAGAATAACATCTTCTAATTGGTCCTGTAAAACAACCAAATTCAAATGAAGGATTGAGAATACCGCTTTCTGCTTTCTTTTCTTTTTTTTTTTTTTTTTGGTAGTGGGAATGAGACTCACAATCTGGTGCTTACCTGGCAGGCACTTGCGCTGCTGAGCTAAACCCGCCACCCAACCCAAGAATACTGCTTTCTGATTGGTCCCGTGTATAGAGCTCAGTAGCTCTAAGCCTACAGATATTTTGGGTCCAAGGTTGTGTACATTTTCTTTTTAGAAAATACCTTGGTCAACCTCTTAGGTGTGGATTTTTATGACCCCTGACACATTCCATCCAGTTGGCTGTCAGTTTGCTCAGGCCCTAATCTCTCACATTATGGGGTCTGTAACTCTGCTGTGTCCTTGTCTTGCTGACAACCTGTTTCAGATTCAGTGTCATGAAACCTTAACTAAATAGTTCCTTGAAGCCACTGACTGTTTCTCTGTCACCCACACAAATACAAGCAAAGACTTCAAAATTGTCAACTGGGGTATCAGGAATATAGCTCAGGGGTGCAGCCCCTGCCTGGCAAGCATGATGGGTACCAATCCCTGGTACCCACCAAAAAAAATTTTTAAAAAGGATTACCCCTGTAATCCCAGCACTTGGGAGTCTGAGGCAGGAGAACTGTCTCGAGTTTGAGGCCAGCCTGGCCTATAAGTAAGTTCAAGGGCAGCCTGAACTGCACAGTGAAATCCTGACTCAAAAAGACAGAAAAAAGGACAAGGAGAAGTGTCAACTGATTGTCTGAACTGTTAAGGGAACCAGGCTGGAACTGGATGGGCATGGGGAGACAAAGGCACCAAGCACTTGGCACATGTTCCTGGCCTCCCTGCCTCACCCCGGCAGAAAGTTTCCTAAGAGCAGAGACTTGACTTTCCATTCATCCTACATCCCAGGCCCTTTCATGGTGACTGGTATGCAGTGTCCACCAACTAGGTGGAGGTCTTCTGCCCCAGCTAGTCTCTTTCTTCTAGCATTTTCAGTCAACTCTTTCCTACTAGGTAATTCTTCTGTCTGCAAAAATAGTCACCCTCCTTTATTTTGTAAACTCTTTTATTGTTCCTACCCTGTATCCATCATCTTACTTTCCTCTGTTCACCCCAACAGCTATGGAGGAACAGGATAGCTGGCATTTATGTCAGAACCTCCAGCTCAAACAAATGAGCAAGTCTATCATTTTATTTTCTTCATAGAGAGGGTTAGTTCCACCTTCAATAAAAGCAAGGCTCTGAGTCAGCTTCTCTGTGATTCTTTCCAAAATCCTTGGTCTTCTGGGCTTCCCCTTATGTCTCTTTGGCCAGGGCTGCATCATGTGCCTATGCCTGATCACTAATGTGGCAGGAAGCACCCCAGTGGCTGAGATTCATCAGCATTCATTCTCTGTGGCTTAGGAAGCAGTCTCCTTTCCTGGGTACAGGGCGGGTAAATGTCAGGACAGAATCAAGGCTTTGCCAATGTGCAAATGCACATGCAAGTGTGCACACACTCAGGATAGGAAGTGGCTGGTGAATCTATGAAGTATCCAATAACTTTCTAATAAATTGTTTTTCTGCCAGTTAGCCAGAGCTGGTTTCTGTGGCCTGTGACCACACAGCCCTGGCTGATTGACATTCTTGGGCTGAGCAGTAAGGACGAGAGCAGCAGCATTTGTCAGCAGGAGAGATGTCATCACACATCCGTTAGATCAGATGGAATGACCAACCAGACTCAGGTGGGAACAGTCCTAGGACCTCAAGAACAGTATGTGAGGCTCAGGGCTTAGGCTACCTCAAGCTACATAACCTAGGGAAGACAGGTCACATGGATGTCAGAAACACTGACGTGGACTGAAGTGACCACCCTCCCTTTAAAAATTGTATCTTTCTTTGGAGCCCAAGAAACCAACCACCTAGATGACTGACCCCTCCCATCTGCCACCTTTCAGCAGAAGACGTAAACAATTAAGCTCCCATTTCCCCTTCCCCATTTCTCACTCTCCTAGGGGACTTGCTGCTGTGCAGTTCTGCATTTAAGCCCCTCTCTCATCTCTGGACAGAGTCCGTCATCACTCGGACCTGTCCCCACCTCAAATTTTTCAACTCTCCTTCCTTCTGTCACCTGGAACCCTTTCCTTCCTCCTCCACTCCGCCTCACATGGAACCTGCTCTGAAGAACCTGGCCTGGGATCAGTATGTGACAGGCCATTCAGATGGTCTTATCCCCTTCTGCACAGGTCAGCACCACAGTCGGCTATCTCACTGGCCCTCTTTCTGGCTTGAGAATGGTCCTTACACCTCTTGTGCCAAGATGTAAGCTGAAGCCCACTGCTCCCTGCACCCACAGTCCCTCTGCTGTACTCACCAGTGCTGCCCAGTAAGTCTCACCAGCACTTCTCCTCTTTACAGGACCTTCCAGTCAAATTTCTTCCGTGGCTTTCCAAGTTCTGGAAACTCTTCTCCGCCCCTCGCCCCTTCCTCCTGACAGATGACCTCCTCCTTGCACCTTTGTCAGCAAAACCAAGAATATCTGCCATGAACTTTGATATGTCCACAGGATGACACCTCTAACTCCTAGTGACAAGATAGTAAAGGCCCCCTTTCTCAAAAGTCACTCCCCCAATGATAATAAAAACAAAAAAACAGAAAGCCAAAGTCCATCCTCATTCGAACCAGGAGACATTTAGAATCCCAGCCCACATCACATGAAAACAGCAGATGGGATGAGAGTGACCAGTGACCTCACAGGGCCCTGGAAAGGCAGACCCAAACACCCTGGGTGCACTCCCACAAGACACAAGCTGATTCTTCCCTTGGAATCCCAAAAAGGCTCAGGAATTGGAAATAGCAACTAAATAAGAAGGCAGAAAATAAATAAATACATAAATAAATCAGAAGGCAGGGCCTGGGGATTGCTTAAGGAGCAGTTAGCCTCAGGAAACCCAGCCATACCCAGCACAGGGGACCACTGTGTCCCCTACCCCACTCATGCAACACACAGCAGACACAGAATAGACAGACAGTGGACTTTGCTGACGGGGTGGGGTTATAGTGGAGAAGAGGGAGTGGGATCAAACACTGAGTGGAAGTCACTAGAGGATCTTTTTCTGGAAAAACCAAACTGTGCCAGAGAAAAAAGGTGACTGACACTAACAGTGGTGCTCTTCAGTGAGGGTCTCATCAGCCAGCCATTGACTGTCCCACCATAAGCTCACTCAGGGTGTGTCCACCTGGCTCTCTAATGCCTCCTTCTAAGACTGAGGGACAGCCATGGCAACTTGGTAGTTGAGGAAAGTCCACAACATGATACAGATGGAAGCAACAGAATACCCGAAACCAGAGGAAACAGAGACAATGCCAGGAGAGGCAACACCCTCAAGAGGATAAGATGCTGCATGCATTCAAAAAATGTGAAACTTTTTTTAAAAGAAAGAAAACGTGAAAAGACTTAGTTATGTTTCTCTCATTGCTGGAACAAAAAAATCTGATGCCCAAAATGAAGGAAGGAAAGGTTTACGTAGCTCATAGTTTGTGGAGGTTTAGTCTGTAATCAGCTGCCTCCAAGGCAGGGTGGCATGGCACAGGGGCAACCCTTTAAGGCAGCAGAAGACAACAAGAGCAAAAGCTGGGGAGAGCAAGCCTCTTTTTCTTCCCTATGTTATGAGCAGGTTAGGGCTCCATAGGACAGGTGTAGGGCTCACACCATCTCTCTGCCTTCCTCTTGCATATGATGAGGATGTTTACAAAGTGAGGGACCCTGGCTCCTGCTAAATTGCTTCAATTAAACGTCTAAACTTCTCAAGTTGACACAATGTATCAACCATTGCAACACTGTTGATACTTTTTGTTGTTATTGCTTTGAGACAAGGTCTCCCTATGTAGTTCAGGGTGGCCTTGAACTCACAGAGGAAAAGAGTTCAGGACTGGGCTAGGGGTGTAGCTCAGGGGAAGAATACCTGCTCACACTGCACCAGTGCCCACTCCCAGGACAGGGTACCACTGGTAATCATAAGTCTAGAATGGCCAGGAATTTAGCTCAGTGGTACAGTGCCTGCCTGACAAGCATGAGGTCCTGAGTTCAATTCCTAGTACAAACAAAACAAAACAAAAGTCCAGAACAGCAGGTACACTTCAGGTCTACTAACCAACACATCTAGAGAAAACTGCTAGGATGGAGCACTCTGGGACAAATACCCTCAAGGGGAAAAAAGATAGAACTGATAAGATTTCCCATGACAGATTTGCTCATATGCAAAACTGTACTGAAAGAGTGTTTCACAGAACTGTTGAAGAGTGTGGGAAGACAGAGCCAGAGATTCAAAGAAAACAGCAAATAAAAGAAAGAGACAATTAACTCCAGAAAAAAAAATTGTACAAGAGAAAATGTAAACAGACAACAAAACATTATATTAGAAAAGGAAATGTAACCAGAATTCTTGCCTCAAGAATGAACAATATTTACAAAGTGGATAACAAAATCCCTGAGCAGTTTTAACCCATTATGGTAAAAATCATAATAGGGTGGCAGCAGGAGAGGAGGCAAGCAGAGAATCAAAATCCTTCTCTACCGAAACAAGTAGACAAATTAGACAAATGCAGAGTGGAACTGTACATACATATTATTTAGAAATAAGGACAAAAAAAATAAAATAAAATAAAATAGAAATAAGGACAAAAATACCAGAAAAAACAGCTAAGAGTCGAAAACATGACCCCTGGGGACCACGGAAAAAGGCCTGAGGGACTTCCGTTTTTGTTACAAACCTTTTAGCACCATTTGATTTTTTTTTTTTAGCTATGCGCAGTTATTTTGATAAGATAAATATTAAATTTAAGGAGCAGCTATTGCTATGATGCTACATCCTACAGCATGCCTGCAGGACTCAGTGTGGACTAGGGGAAAGGGTCCCTCCAGCTTCATCCTCTACAGGGTGGGCACATTCATCAGCTCACCTAGCTTTCAATCTCAGGTCTGATTTCTGCATCTCCTTCTGTGCTGTGGTGGCAATCAGTGGATGGCTCTTCTAACCTGTAAGTTTCAGAACTGTGCCTCTGGGGCTTTGCAGGCACTTTGCCCTCCTCCACTCTCGCCCATAGTGACAGAGGTCCGATTTCTACTCCAGGCCTGAATTTAGACAGCATTTTCTCCACATCCACCAATCTGCCTTAAATGCTTTTCCTCTTCCAGTGTGTGCTCCCTCTGCATCTCCGGGGGTAGCCAGTTAGCTGCATTGCAACTGGCCCTCAGTTTGCCTCTCCCACTGAACTACAAACTCCAGGAGGGTAGGAACTCTACTTCACCAGAGCCCCAGAACAGGGGCTAGGTAAGAGCCAGTGTTATGCAAATGGATGAACGCAGGACTGTCAGGACTCATACTCAGACGAGTGAATTAATGATTCACACACAAAAACAGCTGCAGACCTCCCTCCTATCCTAAGCAAAAGTCCGTGCCTCCTTCTCCATTCTATTGCTTACTCTGCTTTCTTCCAACAAGATCATTATTTCTCAGAGAAGCTGTGTCTGCTGCTCAACTCCCAATCTCTTGGCTCCAGCCAGGCCCCTTTCTGTGATCGCGGCCAGCTCCAGTACTAGGCTTTCTAATGCAACTGCATGACACTGGCATGAGCTGCTGGGGGTATCCTGCTGCCCAGCTCTGAGGAAGGAAATCTATCCCTTTTGTGACCTCTGGCCAAAAGTTCAGCTCTAAAGGTCTGAGACCTTGGCTTAACCGAGGCTACCAGCCTAGCCACGGACTCTGGATAGACCTTGGCCTAAACTAAGTGGCTCACTTCCCCTTCCATCTTGCAGGCCAGGAGCCAAGATCGCAGTCCTTGCAGCCGGCGTGCCCTTGTGACTGCGGCCAGTGACTTCCTGTGGGAAAGGTATGCGGCCCGCGCCTGGGCTGCCCGAGGTCGGGAGGCCCGGAGCGGGCGTGCTCAGCACCAGCCACACACGCAGTGGGCGCCGGAGGGTGGGAGCGGGCCTGGGCAACTCCAGGAGTGCCCCAGCCCAACAGAAAGCTGGCCCCTGGCGGGTCAGAGGGGAAGAGCGCAGAACCTGCATCACTGTTAGCCCTCGAGGACTGCTGCCCGGGTCAGAGGCGGCCTGCCGCCCCGCCCCCACCGCGCCACGTGACCTCAAAGAGCCGCCAGAGCTTTGGAATGCGGCGACCCCGGCGGTGCCCCAGGCGGGCGGGGCAGGGAGGGCGGGGAGCCGCGCGGCGCTGCAGGGTGGGGGAGGGGAAGGGGGGCCCTTTCTGGCCTTTCCTGGCTGGCGAACGGGGTGGAGCTAGAGCGAAGGAGGTTTGGCTTGGTCCCGGGAACCTGTGAATACCGGCCGGGGAACTCGATCTGCCCCTGTCCTTTCCTTATTTAGGAGAAGGGCTGGAGCCCTGCTTTTAGTGGTCAGTGGGGGCTCAGGTCACGCGGCTTCGAAGGACTTGGGGGGAGCTGTGCGCTGCACAAGCAGAGATGGGGAGGGCAAGGTCAGGGACTCTCGGTAGCCCCAGGTAGTTATCTTTTACACACTTCCGCATTAAATGTAAGGCTGGGTGGGAAGGTCGCAGGTCTGCGTAGCTCCGGGATCGTTCGCCCCACGTGCCCTTTCTCGTGTTGGTACCAAGTGTGTTTGGCCTAAGCCTGGAGTCGGCGGAGCGGACCGCAGAGTCCTGTGCCGGGGTGGTGAGCAGGGAGCAAGCAGTGCTGGGCCTGGGCTCCCCTGCCCTGGGTGGAGAAGTGGTGCCTAGGGGCAGGCAGCTTCCCAGGCTCCATGCCCCAGGGACAGCAGCAGTGCCCAGAGAGGACAGTGTCTGCTAGGAGGGGCTTCCAACTCAGCGTTGGGTGCCAGGCTCTATGAGAGGCCTTAGGGGTGTGCAGAAAAGAAGGAAGCTCCTGCCCTGACAGTTACACTGCAGTGGTGGGAGAAGTCAGTAAGCCAGGAAAAAAATCAGAAGCATCTGAGTCAGATTGGGACCCAGGAGGATTTGAGGGCCACGTGGAGCCTGAATTGTGTCTTCAAGGGTGATGAATGACCGCACAGGAGGGGAAATAGAGGGTGTTCGTTTCGGGTGGAATTGCCTGTGAGCAGTGTGCTGGCACAGGGTGTTAGGAGCAGAGTCCCAGATACTTAGCCACGCTTAACAGCAGCACAGGTGAGTGTGGGGAAAGTGCAGAAGATGGGATGGCTGAGGACCCAGAAGCCAAGTCCAGGGGCACCCTGTGTGCCAGGCCAGGCATCTGATGGACACTTATTCTGAAAGTCTTGGGGAATTGCTGAATCCTTCCATGTGGACAGAGTGAGAGTTGCGTTTTCTAGGAGAGCGAGGGATAGATTTGGATTTGGGACCCACAAAATGAAAAAGATTGCTTAGGAGCTTGGTACAGACCTCTCCTGAGAGAACGGCACCGGGAGTGAAAAGTAAGAAAGGGCCTGACAAACACTCGGCAGGAAGAAGCCACTGATGTTCAAGACTCATTGTGCCTAGGGAGGAGTAGGGAGGAAAACGATTGGGTAACTTTGGTTTCTAGCTTGGGGACCTGCTGCAGAAGGAACAAGTTTGTAGGAAAAGTTGATGATTGATGATGATGATGATGATAATAGGTACTATTATCTCATTTAATATGGGGAAACTGAGCCAAGAGCTAAGTGGTTGAATTGGGATGATGAGCATGCCCATACCTTGTAGAATACATCATCTAGAGCCCCTGCAAGGTTTTCTAGGCTCTATAAAAAAGCCAGGAATGGTGGTACACGCCTGTTATCCCAGCACTCTCGGATGCTGAAGCAGGAGGATCACAAGTTCAAGGCCAGGTGAGCAATATAGCAAAAGCCTGTCTCAAAATTAAAATGGCAAGGATATAGCTCAGTGTAAAGGTCCTGGATTCAGTTCAGTTATACACACACACACACACACACACACACACTTCCCCTTCCTCCCCAGCTTTCAGTATCTGATACCCCCACAGTTTCACTCACTGTCCCTGGTTTCCCTCCTGAACCCCACCTCACCTTAGCCAAAGGGATGCCAGGACTGCACTGCACAAGCCTTGTGACAGGATGACACACAGCTCTGGAAGACCTGGTAGCAAGACCACACCTTCCCAGTTATAAAACAGAATGGAACCAGACCGCAGGGACAATCAGGAAACCAAGAAAATAAATGTGTTCCATTTGTAAAAATAAAAATTAAACAAAATAACATTTGAGTGATTCAGGAAGGACTACTCTGTTTACTCCTTACTGTCTGTGGGGGAAAGGGCAGGGTCCAGGGAAGGCGTGCATGTCTCCTAGAGGAAGTTCCTCCAGCTCCATTTCCCTTTCCCCAGCTTCAGCTCAGGAACACCCAGTCTGACTTCAATAGCCATGGGAGATCAACAGGATGGTCACTCCAAGTTAGCCCCACCTCTACTGTCCCTGGTCCAGCTAGCGGGGGCAGACAGTGCTGCTGTTTCCAAGTTGCTTCTCACTAACCTTTCAGAGAGACTAAGGGCAAAGGATGGAGCAGGTGGGTGACCAGGATAGCCAGTGGGTCTTTGGGAAGGCTTTTAGGCCATCATCTTTGAACCAAATTATATGGGCCACCTAAAGTTACACAGGAAGCAATGGGCTTTGGACCTGTAGGCAGAAGCCTATGCATGAGGCTGTTGTGGGCAGAAGTTAGAATGGCCACTTGCATCTACCTCCCTCACCACCTTAATTGTAGGAAAGAGGCCCACTGAGATCCCAGAGAGCTTTTAAGATTGGAGACCTATTCCCAGCAGTCTGGAGACAGAGCATCGAGAAGCCCAGACACCAAGAATCCAAACCTTGCATTTTGGGGTTTTACGGTTCGATAAAATTACCACTAACTTCTGTAGTCTCTGGGGCACAGAGGTCCTTATCAACCTCTGGAAAGATTCCCCTTATACACATCTCCCTCATTCACCCCTCCTGCTGGGATCTGTTTACACCCATGTGCCTGTGGCCTGGGAAGGATTTCTTTCTGTTAGACATGAACATTTCTTTGACAGAGCAAGAGGTGCTTGAGGGTCATCTCTTTGCATCTTTCAGAAACAACTGGATTCCTACCCAATGAAAGGAGGTAAGCACACAGGAGGTGAAAGTAGTGTTGTTCTAATACTGGGTCATAACCCAGAGGTGGGTCATAAAATCTCTACTTAAAGAGCATCTTTGAAAATGAAATAGAATATGCAGTACCTGCAACAGAAATTATCAAAGTGTGTGCACTTAGCAAAGATAAACGCTCCTCCATGAAACTTTTGTTTCCAATATCTCACAAAATGTGTTTCTTGCCATGGGCCACTGAACCCCTGGACAAAAGAAACTTGGATAAGACCTAAAGTCAAGATGGACAGAGCAAATTCATAAAATGTGCCCTTTCTCTGTCAGGCACTAAGCCAGAAGGTCCCCCAAAAATTCAGTAATGAAGAGGACAGTATTTCAATATGCCTTCTAGTTGGGAAGCCAACAGACAAACCATTCCTAGACAATGTAGTAAGTGCCCTGTGAGTGTATATAGGGCACTATAAAGCCCTCATATGAGAATAAGCATCCAGGAGGGATTCCAAGAGGAGATGGTGCAAGTCAGACTTCTCAGGAAGAAAAGATAATGACCTGATTCTAGAATCTTCTTCATCCTATAGATAAAAAGAGAACTATGGTAAAGTGTTAGGAATTCAAATCTAAAGACAAACCCTAACGCCAGTTGTAGTGGTGCATGCCTGTAATCCTAGCACTTTGGAGGCCAAGGCAGGAGGATTACTACAAATTGGAAACCAGCCTGGGCTATAAAGCAAGCTCAAAGCCAGCCTGAACTGCATAGCGAGACCCTGTTTCAAAAAGAAAAAAAAAAAGCCCTAGTTCTGATTTTTTTCTCAGAAGGGAGACCTCAGATGAGTCAGTTATTTCCAGAATGTTTGTCTACACAATGGGCATAATCTCTGCTCTGCTCTGTTAACCTCAAAGAAGTGAGACATCCAGTCGTGTTTGAACATCGAGTTCGATCCCCGGTACCGATAAAAAGGAAAAAAGACCAAAAAAAAAAAAAAAAAAAAAAAAAGTGAGACATCCAAATGAGACAATGTATATGATTTTTGCAAAGCTAATAGGGAATGGAGTGTCTCTGATGAGGAAATGAAAGTGGAGAGGTGAAACTGTTCTACGGACCACTGCAGTGATACCAGGGCCTCCTCAGCTGGTCTCTGCTCCTGCTGCAACAGACCTACCTTGCAGGAGAGCAGGGGCAGGGCCAGAAGGGCTTCCTAGCAACCTGACTACTGAATATTTATCTTGAAGATCCTGTTCTTTTCATGGTGGGAGGTACATATGTCAGAACTTCTTTTTTCTCTGTTAATGAATTAGGATCTACCCAAACTCAGTGTTTAAAGTTACATAAGCATCATTCAGATCTTCTGTAAGAGCCACTTTCGTTTTTTTAAAAAAACAGCATTTCCATTAAAATGGTGTTATATAAAAAGGTTTTGTGTGTGCAGAACAGCAGAAGAGGCAAGCACAAGTACTGTGAAGGCACACAGGCACCTATGTGACACCCTGAAAGGACCTGACAAGTTTTGACTGACTTGTCCTCTGAATACCACTAAGACCTGATGCATGCTGGGCAATGGGAAGTACAGCAGAAGGCCCGCTAGCTGGCCCCATCCTCTAAGGCCCAGACAAATCCTCCTCGTTTTTTCTGGAAGCCCTTTCCTTGGTAGAGTGAGTTCCACTGAGTTGTAGCATATCCGTCTTGTAAGCAGCTCAGAAAGCATCTCTTGCATTCACCCTACACCAGTCCTGCCAATCTTGACCTAAACAGGTCTCTTCCTCCCAAGGCAGATACAGATCACTAAAAAGCACTGCTACTGAGACGGAACCTGCCTTTCTGGAGCTAGCACCTTGTGGAAATCCCTTACCTACAACCTAAAGCAGGGAATTTGAGTTTAAAGTCCAAGAGGGTCCCCTGGTAGGGCACCATGGGGCCCTAAAGGGCAAGCAGAGGGCAGCCCAAGTCCACCGAACTGAAATGTTAGTTTGAGAGACTTCTAGCCAGCTGACTGAGGATGGGCTTGGGGGGGGGGTGCCAGAATAAGAATAAAATGAGTGGCTCAGTAAAGCCTTGTTTCTCCGGTGTGTGTCTCATTTGAACTGTGGAGATCACAGTCCCGAGGTCAGTTCTAGCTTTGACACTGGAGTCCTAGGTCGTCTCTTCTCCCCAAAGCCCTTTCAGGATTCCATGGTTGTACTCTTTCCTGTGAATCAGTGCATCTTAAGTACGGCCAAGCAGCAAGCCAATAACTGCCCTGAGCACCGCCCAATCCACTTTAAGCTTCTCGGCTCGCCCAGGTTGCCCAGGTTACCCAAAGGGCGGAACTAGACCGCTCTCCTAGAACAGCGACAAAAACACCCAAGCACCAAGCGAGAAAAACGTGAGCTTCGGAGTGGCCTTTTTAAATAGTTGGGAAGGGGGTGTGGCCGAGGAGACTGGGAGGCTGCAGACATGCGAGGGGGGGAGTGGTCCGGAGGCGTGGCCGTGGTGATTGGAATGTTGTTGGGTCCTGGCACCGCATAGTAAGGAAAGGCCACGCCCCTTTTCTCCAAGCGAGCCAATCGGAGCGCCTGAGCGGTTTCAAGTCTCCCCCACCAGCCTGCCCGCCCGCCACCCCACCCCCCTCGGGGAATTTGCGTTTTCCGTAACAAAATAGCAAAACTCTGGATCGTCTGAAGCCCCTGGCCTCTTACAAGTGGAGGGTCCCGGGGCCTAGGACGCTGCCAGACAGTGGAAAGCACCGACAGGCCGCGGAGAGGCCGGGTCAGCTGCGGAGAGACGCGCGGGGGTGGGCTCTGCAGCCGCGGGTTGTTTATCTGGAGTACGGAGGGGAGGGGGGAGCCTGGAAACCGCCCCGTGTCCCATTTCCTCCTCTTGTTTTCGCTCCGGATTCTCCATGTTGGACCCAAACTGAGGAGCCCGGAGCTACCACCGGGGGATCGGGGCCGGGGGCACCCGGGGGAGCCGCTGCCCGGGCCGCCCGCCCTCCTTCGAGGCCGCCTCCCTTCCCGGCCCGGGGAGGAAACGATAAGGGGGGGATGTGAACATCGGTGGGAGTCGGAGACTCGGGAGCAGAGCGGAGCGGGCCCCCGCCCAGGCCCCCAGCCCAGCCCTGCCCAGCCTGCGCGCCCGCCCGTCCTCCCGCCCAGCCAGCCCGGGCCCGCGGAATTGTTAGATGGAACACGGCTCCATCATCACCCAGGCGCGGAGGGAAGACGCCCTGGTGCTCACCAAGCAAGGTAGGGGCAGCAACTTCCCAAAACTTTGCGTCGCCCCCGGACGAGGAGGGGGCTAGCACATCCCGATGACCGCGTCTAGGCCCCTGGCCTGGGGCTCGGGGCGAGCGGGTCGGGCGGACCCCCTGATCTGTCTGCCCCCGCGTCCCCGTCGGCGCACAGACCTTGCTGGGGGCTGCGCGGCCCGGGCTTTCGCGCCCAAGGGGGAGGGGTGTCATTCGCGCAGCTGTCAGCCGCCCCGCTGCCCCTCCCTCCGGGGCCGAGACGCACCGGGGTAGAGCCTGGAGCCCGAGTCCCCCTGCGTCTGCCCCCTCCCGGGTGTGCGTGGGGGCGGGGGTCGTCACTTTGCCACATCGCGGTGCGCGGCTGCGCCGGGACCGCAGGAAAAGCGGGGGGGGGGGGTGGGGGGCGAGGGTCCGAAGCTGGAGCGGAGCTGGGGCTGCAGTTCAGCGCTTCGCAGTTCCCCAGGCCGAGGTCACTCGGGCTGCTGGCGGCGACGGCGTCCGGTGGGACTTGGGACCAAGTTGGCAGCCCCCGCGGTGGGGGAGGGGCCGGCCCTGGGCCGCGCGGGGCTCGGACTGGCGGCCTCTCCCGCCGGTTTCGCTGAGCAAACAAGCCCGAGCCGAAGCCCGGCCGGAGCCCCTCCCCGCCCCGGTGCGCTCCCCCGGGGCCGCCGCTGCACACAGAGCCGCGTTTGTTTAGCCCAGGAGCGGTGTCCCTGGTTACATAATTCGCCGGATGGCATCAGACCCGCCGTGTTTCTGAATCGCGCAGCTAAAAAGTGCTAGTTCTCTGTGGGCAGCGCCTTGCAGCCCCCACCTTCCTGGGTGTCCGTAGGAAACACAGCGCCCCCCACCCCCGCGCCGCGGCTTTGTGGGGGGCTTGGAGACGCCGTGCGGGGAGACCCTGCCTCCCGCGGGGGCCAGGTGAAGGCTGGGTCAGAGGATGCAGTCACTTAGTTTGGGATCTGTGGGGAACCCTCCCCCTTCACAACTCCTTCCTTTTTCCCCTTGTACTGGCCTAGAGGAATGTGTCCAAAAAAACGGGTAGAATTTCCACAGGGAGTGAGGACTAACCTCTTTTTCTGCAGAACTCCCAGGACAGGGGTCCACTTGACCCCGAGGTGGGAGAGTGAGCACGCTCTGGGGATCAGAAACGTTCCTACGCTTGTGGGTCCCTTTCCAATAGGTGTGAAAGGCCTGTCCCGAGATTAAATTTACTAAGGCCTAGACGAGCCTGGTGGGCTGCCAACAGCAGGGCCTCTTGTGTTGCCCCATCCCCTCCCCTACATTTTGGTTTCCTTAGTCAGCAGGTCACTTATTTATTCGTGGAGTTTAGCTTCTCAAATAACTCCCCCAACTTGCTAGGGGCAAAACAGCTGGGGTGGTGTGTCAGGCCCTGTGGAATTCCCTCAGTGTAGTGGGGGTGGGTAGTGTGCGCCTCTTGACTCCCCTGCCCAGGGCGGATGGAGCAGTGCCTACTCAGATCTCAACATCTAGAAGGGCTTCCCGACCTCCTGCAGCAGCACTAACCGGCCTGTGTGACCCAAGAGGCCGGTGTGACCCAGGAGGAGGCTTTGTGACCCAGGCAGCAACTTAGCTGCCTTCTGTGTCTGTTCAGCTGTGCTGAGAGCTGAAAAAAAAGAGACTGCCTGTTTATAACTCACTGCTGGACTCTTCCCACTTTTCCCAACCTCCTGGGAAAAGACCCTTGGAGCTAGCCAGCGGTGAAGACATCTGCCTTGAAAGGAAACACGAGGGGGCAGTGATGGTGAGAAGCCCGCAAGAGAAACCACCCCCTGCCTATTCCTCTTCTGCAGGGGTTCCTGCCAGTGGCTTGAGTAGTGGTGCCCACGCCAAAGGGAAGGAGAGCAGGGCTGTGAAGTGGCCACCTCTAGATGATAGCTGAAAGTTGCATCTGCCAGGGCTAGCGGCAGGCAGTGGCAGAATGGAGTTGAGCAAAAAGTCAGGCAGTTGGCTTCTTTAATGGCATCGGTTGGATTTTCTTGGGGTTAACATTTTCATTTTCTTTTTGTGTGAATGTGGTCTTTCAAACTTAGGTCTGGAGAAATCTGAATTCTCAAACTAGCAACCACTGGACTGGGTCTTTCCCTCTTCCCTTGTAATTCAGTTGGCATTCCAGAGAAGACATAGTTGGTTCCTGGGCTGTTTGGGCACCCAGCAATCGTGCCAACTTTGAGTGCTACAGCGTACAAGCAAAACCTGCATCTTCAAACAAAAACCAAAGGGAAGGGGAGGAGCAAATGTTTTAATTAGCTCCTTGAAGAGTTCTGTTTCTCCCCACCTTCTCTGCCTTATCCCATCCCCAAGCCCTACTTACCTTTAGAAAAGAGGAAAAAGTTTCTGGAAAGAATTGTTTGTAAGTTGGGTAGCTTTTTAGTGAAATCGTTTTCAGTTACAGATTTTTTTTTTCCCCCTTTTCATTCTGAGCATTTTGTTCTCTGAGCCTTAAAGCTGTCTGGGTGTGTTGATGATTCAAAAGTAATTACAGTAGGGGAAGTAGAACAAAGTTATTGAAAACATCAGTGATAAAAGCACCAAAATTGGATCATCCTCCCAGACAGATGGGTGAAATGGCTTTCTGGTACAGCAAGGCCAGGATTGTGTGTAACATCAAAAATAAAAGTATCACTTGGGCAAGAATGATTGCTTATTGCAGCCCCATATGGAGTGTTACCTCCTTGCTGTGAGGTTGTGCCTGGGCTTTGCTTTTAGGTAGGGAGAGGCCAAGGAAGCAGGGCCCACTGAATGTGAAATGGGAGGAAGCAGTCTCTCTCCCACTGGTGACCCACAGGCCTTTTGGTGGAGTCAGAGACACTGTTGACAGAAAACTCTACTGTCCCTTCACAGAGAGGGATGATGAAACTTTGGGTTCATCTTCTCATCTGGGTACAGGTTCTGATAATCACTAGTAGGAAAGCTACCCCACAGAGACTCAGGTACTTCCCAAAATTGGATGTAGCAAGACTTTCTAGCACCTGCTTTCTGCGCAGAAGGAAGAGATTCTGCCTGATTCTCTCAAGGAACTAGTCAGGTACGTTCTGCTGTAGATGTCACTGAGCCCTTAACGTGACAGGCTGCAGTGTCTTGCCAGCCACTGCTTCCTCTTCAGCTTGCTCTGTGGGTAGGTGCACCTCTGCACAGCCTGCAGGGGCCAGGATGCATGAGCAGAGTAGGCTCCTTTCACTTGGCCCCTTTGTGCTCACTTTCCCAGTAGCTGCTGAGACTCACCCCTGTATTTTCTCCGAAGTTTTCTTCCTGTCTTGGAATGATGGGCCTGAGTGGCCATTTAAGCTTACATTTGCTCTTACCTAAGGACCCCATGGTAATAGTCCCAACCCAGCAACAAAGTTTGCAAATGCCAAGATCTGGGGCTGGAACTTTGCATTTTACTTGCAGAACTTTCCACTGAACTGGACTTTGAAATACCCATGAAAAATCTCTGTATCTGGCAGATGGGGTATTCCTGGCTCCTCCTGCTCCATTAGAAAGAAGCCAAGAAAAGTTAACTGAAGGAGGAAGGTGATAGTTTCCTCTCTGTGGCACCTTCCAAATCCTATAGTATGTGTTTTGTTAAAATGGGAAATACTGTACAAGTCACATTTCTAAACATGTGAATTAATGTTCCTAGTCCTTATGTGGTGAATTAATAGAAATGTTCCTAATATGGGAAATAAAGACAGCATGTAAATATTTGTGGGATTGTGTATCTGTGGTCACAAACTCTCTTACCCTTCCTCCCTGCTCAACTTGGAAAGGTTAGTTCTTGTAGGAACTCATTCTTCCCTAAAGGAATTGTTGGTTACAGAATTGGTTTCGTTTCTTTTCTTTTTTTTGGGGGGTGGGGTGGGTACTGGGGCTCGAACTCATAACCTCATGCTTGCTAGGCAGGTGCTTAGGCCAGAATTGGTTTCTTCAAGCCTGGGTTCAAATTTCATTTCCTGTTTGCAGTAAGCTTTGACAGATCATGTTAGCTTGGTGAGTAATTTATCTGTAAAATAGAAATAAAGTTATTTACCATTCTATGATGCTGGTAGGCAGAAGATTAATTTTTTAACTGATAAATGTTAATATCCTTTTTTAAACAGCTATACTTCTACTGTTCTCTCTCTTCTGTTCTCCCAAGACACATAAACAGTACACAGTTCTGATCCTGGATGTTTTACTGTTAAGATGGCTGGGATTCAGAGGGGATGCTACCGTAGGGTGTTGGGCCTTCTGAACACAGAGACCCGCTGCACAGACCTCTTCTGAGTGCCACTGTGACTCCAGCTGGAATTTTGTCTGCAGGTCCATTGAGCAGCATGTGCTGTAGGGCTTCAGCCATTCTGTTTGGCGCCTGGGCACCTGGCATCTGGAGGTGGGAGGAGGTCAGAGTGTCATGTGTTTCCTGTAGGAGTCTCTGAAATCTTAGCTAAATCTTAGAAGCAGTTGCTTGACCTCTCAGAGATAGATGCAAGGATACTCAAGACAGCTGTGTGTCACATTCTCTTGCTGTTTGCATTTGCTTTAAGAGATAATAAACTTGATGAAATTCAGATTTCCTTTGGGAATTTTAATAATAAAAAAGAAACAGGTTTTGAAGAAGATTGGATGCTCTTAAGGTATGCCTTGGCAACTTTGATTCTTTGGGGTAAAACATTAAAGAACACCAAAGCAGCATTAAACTGGTTTTCATTTTGTCTTCGGTCGGCAGGCTCTGAAAAGTTTGGAATTTAACTCTAATGGGATGGGGGAACGGGATGTGGCTCTCCTTTTGTGAAATGGAAGGGTAGTTCCTACTGGGCGTAAGTCAGCACATTAACATGGAAGTCTTTTGAAGGAACTAGAAGAAATTATAGTGGAGAAGTTGACTTTGTAGAACCAGAAGCCTTTCTGGAACAATTAGAGTGGAGTTTCTATATCAGCAGAGTACCCAGCCCTTCAGGTCTGGGTGTGCCTGCTCCAGGATCTGCTGCTGCAGAGTGGAGAGTCCAGTGGGTG